CATAAGGTCGTCTGATTTGACACCATAACTTAACAGAAAACTTAAACTCGCCAAGACGAGGAGCTTGGAGCTAGCATGGTGGGCAGCACGGCCATCTTCAACAGCAAAACATGTCTTCCCTAGCTAAACCAATTTCCTTCCTTAGAACTAAAACAAAAAGCCATAGGACTTTAAGGTTGTTTGCTTATGCAAAATAAATTCTCACCTCATCTTTAGGTCTTTGTATAGTTCTGCTATACAATATAAGCTCTAACTCGCCTCGTCTTAGGATTCCAAAGGATTCCAAAGTTGTCGTCTGTCACGACTTAAACTCTCACATCTTCCAGGCTATTTGTGTGATCATTTCACACGAATGTAGGCCCTAACAAATAAAATTGGCATGATACAATACCTAAATATTTCTCCTCAAAACTAAAGTCAAACAATAGGATAGACTGGGAAGTCACCGATGTTCTCCTTCGGATCTGTGACATCCCCTAATTCTTACTCCTTTGGATTCTACAATAAATGTTTCAAATTTGAGTCATTTCTATTTCACACCTCGTTTGTCCGATCTTGTTCATAAGTCTTATCCTTTTGGCCTCTTTGAAGATAATATTTTCCTTAGTTTAATCGAGAGTTTTTTACGGTCATTTAAGATGTAATTAACTATAGGGGTTTGCCCTTATAGGAAGCTTGTCCGAAGTCAACTTAATATAAACCATATTAAATTCTTCGTATTAGATAGAAGAACTTGTCGGCAAATAAAACGGTTTCGCAGATCAAACGTACGTCATATATTTTTTAATTTATTTGATGGAGTCTCATCCTCAAATCTTGTATTTATCCTTCGGGAGAAATATAGGGTTTGAGGTATAGCGTTCTTCATTTAAATTATGAAAAATATGAAGTCAGTTTGATTTCATATTTTTCTAAAACTTATATATATATGTAAATTAAAACGTCCTTCCGAAGCGGGTGACGGGATTGCGATTCCGGCGGCCAACAGCTTCAAACGGGCAACACTACAACCAAAAATAGTGCCGACAATTAGAAACATTTATATTTGTTTATGTAAATAATGAAACAATCTTGAATAAAATTTTTAAAGCTAAATGTATAATAAGCAAGCTTTGACATTCATCGATATTTTCATTTATGTTTGTGAATATGCTTGACTGTTATTAATAAGAAACTTGCAAAAAGCTCATAAAATGCACATTTATTTATAAGTTTGTTGCCTTTTGATAATCTATTCTATGTTACCATATCAATTTAATTATATTGTATGCGCTTTAAAAGTTACTTATATTACTAGAAGGATAGTATAGCAATGGTGTGTAAACAAGTCGAGCTTAAGTGAACACAATGTTTGTTACTTAAGCTCGGCTTGTTTGTGTTCGGCATGTTCAATTTTTTTTTGGCTCAATATAGGCTTGCATTCTAAAGGGCTCATAAATAGTATATTCGTGTTCAACTTGATTTGAATTGGTTTGTTCGCTTTAGTTCATGTTTGAATTGAAATTAGCTCAAATTATTTTAAAACTACAAAAATTTAAGATTTTTTAAATAAAACAAAAATAATATAAGTGAGCACAATGTTTCTTACTTAAGCTCGGCTTGTTCGTGTTCAGCATGTTCAATTTTTTTTGGCTCAAAATAGGCTTGCATTCTAAAGGGCTCATGAATAGTATATTCGTGTTCAACTTGGTTCGAATTGGTTTGTTCGCTTCAGTTCATGTTTTCCTTGAAATTAACTCAAAATATTTTAAAATTACAAAAAATTAATATTTTTTTAAATAAAACAAAAATAATATAATATAAAAATATTATAATAAAATTTGAGTCAAATTGAGCTAAACAAGATCGAACAAAAATTTATTTGTGTGGCTCATTTATAAATTAAACTCAAAAAATTGTTTGTGTTTTACAGGTTTGCTTAACGAACGAAACGGGCAAAAGCAACTTAACGATCCGAACAAAAGTTGTTTGCGAACAACGAGATTTTATATTGAGCAATGAACTAGACGAATAAAATAAAAAATATATATATTTTTTAAATCGACATTTGATGATGAAAATATAGAATAAATAGCTCTACCATTATGTTAAATTTCTCCATTGTGTCCTCCTATTGAGTGTCATATTTACATTTAATTCTAATAAATTAAGACCATTTTTTAGACAACATTCCAAAGTTTATTTAGGTCTACCTCTACCTTTTTTAACATAATATAAATTTAAAGCATCTTCCTCCTAATCGGATCATCAAATGGTCGACTATTAATGTGACGAAACTATCTAAGAAGACTATCTAATCTTGTCTGCCGTTGGAGCAACATCACCCCTTTCACAGATACATTCATTTTGCATTTTGTCTCTAAGTGTCAAGCCACTCATTGACCTCATCTCAGCAACATTTACCTTAGTTTTATGTTTCTCTTTTAAAGCTCAACAGCATTGCAGGTTTCTTCACCATCTCATAAAATTTTCCTTTTAAGTCTAAGCGGTACTTTTTTCTATCACACAATAGTCCTGACACATTCCTTCACTTCAACCATCCTAACTTGAATTCTATTAATAACATCCCCATCTATATCACCATCACTTTGAATAATAGACTTGAGATATCTAAAGCGTTCACACCTTTTAGTGATTTGATCATCCCTTATTACAACTCTGCCACTAGATCTACTACTTCTAAAATTAAATTTCATGTATTTAATTTTAGTTCAACTCAAAATTAAGACCTTTAGACTCTAATGTAGACCTTCATAATTCTAATATTTCCTAAACTTTCTCTTTAGTCATACCCACAAAAAGGATATCATCTATGAAAAACATACACAAAGGGACATCCTCCTGTAAATGTCCAATAAGAGCATAAAAAATTGAAGTAAAAAAATATGATCTTAAACTGATCCCTGATGTTATCCCACTGAAACAACTCAGGTATACATATTTTTAATGACTTGAATATAAGTCATATAACGATTTTTCTTTTCTAGAACTCTCCAAAGAACTTCTCTTGGAACCTAATCATAAGCTTTCTCTAAATTAATAAAAATCATATGTAAATCCTTCATACGCCCTTATATATATACAGCTTCAATAGTAAAGTTGTCCAACATAAATCCAAACTCATTATGAGAAATTTTTGTACCACATCTTAAGCTACGTTTAATTACTCTCCCCATAATTTTAATGTATGGCACATTAACTTGTATCCCTTATTTGCACACACTTGTGCATCCCCTTTATCCTTGAAAATGGGAATCAAAATACTTTTCCTCCACTCAATCATATTTCTAATTTTAAAAATAATATTAAAATGTTTAATAAATAAAAAAACTCCTAAATCTCCTAAATATTTCCACATATCTATTGAGATATTATAAAGTCCTACTGATTTTTCACCCTTAGTTTTCTTTAAAGCCTCAACTTCTTTTTCACAAATACGACGATAAAAAAAATTATTTTATTAATGAAATTAAGATCACTAAGTTTAATCCTATTTTCTAAAACATTATTGAGATTATGAAAATATCTCACTCACCTATGTTGAATATCTTCCTCAAAGAAAAACACTTTAATTTTCATCTTTAAAGCAATTTACTTGAACTAAATCTTTACTTTTCTTTTATCTTTATTTGGCTAGATTATACACATATCTTTCACCTATTTTAGTATTAAATATATTATAAATATCACTAAAAGTAAAATTTTCAACATCACAAATCATTCACATAGACTCCCTAGGGGTCATTTTATATTTTTCCCAATTCTTTAAGTTTTTACATTTAAACCAATTTTTATAACAAAACTTCTTATATTTTATTTGTTTTTGCATATTATTATTCCACCACTAACTATTTTTATTTATATACATATATTTTTCCTTTTGATTCTCGAAGTACAACTTATGCCACTAATTTAATAGTGTTTGTTATTTTATCCAACATATAATCAAGTTCTTCATGAACATCCCAAATCTCAAGATCTTGAAGTTTACTTATAAAAAGGTGTCCTAATCTAATTATATGACAATATTTCATTGTATTTTTTTTATCTTCTAACATCTCATCTAAAAATCCTGAATTAATAAATCAATGTTGAGCACTTAGATTTTCACTTGTAACGACCTTACAATATTTACATTTTCAACGATCTTATTTTCTCATAAGAAAATAATCAATTTGTATTTTTTTAGATCCATTCTTATAATCAATAATATGCTCATTTATTCTCTTAAATAAAGTATTAGCAATAACAAAATCTTAAGAAAAAAAAATCTAATATAATTCTATCTTCTTCATTAATCACTCAAAAACTATAGTCACCATAAATATTACTAAAATGTTTTACCACTCTAACAATATGTTCATTTAAACCTCCTCCAACAAAAATTCAAGAGGTATCATTTGTATTAAATCTTCTAGGTCCTTTCAAAATTTTCTATTGAACCTATAGCTATTAAATCTTCTAGGTCATTTAAATCATCTCAGTAAATAATTATCACTTTTAATGAAAAATTATGAATAAATTTATTGTTAATGAAAATTACATTTGCTTAAATTATTAGCATCCTACAAGTGATCACTCTCAATTAAAGCTTGAACTAGATATTAATATTAATAAATGATATTGAAAAGATTTTGAAATTAGAGTGATGACTAAGCTTTTGCTTGAGCTAAATAAGAAAATAAATGAAAGAGCACAAAAAATGCATTAATCGAATCAGCTTGGTTCATTTATAGCCGTAAATTCCACACCTCATTCTAATCACCCTATGGCTACGTGATACTTCAAAAATGCATATCGTTATTAATTTCAATGTACCCACGATGCATAATTTTTTTCTTAATGCAATCTAAATTAGTTACAATGCCCAATCATATTCCTTCTCAAATTTTCAAAATTGCACTTATGAATAGGAATGCCAGATAAATACAAAATAATATGACAATGTAGTGTTCAAACTTCTTCAAAAAGATATAATACTAGTAAAAATAAGAACTTACAACAGTCACGGATTTTACAAGCTTCACAATCTGCGCAACAAAAGTTGGATATATGTCACGGTGAACATAAAACCTCTCAGCACCAGCGCAGTTTTGACCACTAGATTGGAGTGCACCTCTTACTGCAATTTGTACAACCTAGAAAGGAAGTGGTTATAAGACCACATCACAATAGCATGGAAGCATGCTCTGTTTTGTGAATGGAGGCCATTCATTTCTCCTATATTAGATTTTGAAAAATAAAACTCCATACATGAGGTACATCAGCATCTTCACACACAATAAACGCATCCTTGCCACCAAGCTCGAGTGTAACGGGAATCAATGTCTCTGAAGCCTTTTGCATGATCTGAAAACAGATGTTACAGTGAGTCGCACAACAGTATCATTGCATATATCAAAGAAATCTATGCAATCTAAAACAATATAATACAAATACCAAATATATATAATATATATATATATCAATTGAGATACTTACACATGACAAATAGCATCAATGTTAAAGAAGCATAACAGTTAAATGGTTCAAATGCAATGATTTGAACAAAGAACACAACAATATATTTCAAGCAATTTTAAGATTTCCTGGTGTTAAGCAATCTATTCCTTCAGCTATAAGTACCAAAATGAGCATCCTGCAAAGAAATTTTATGAAATAGGAAGTCTGCAGCCTAGAAAACACCATTGTATTCTTCATGTTTCTTTCCCTCTTTTGATAAAAAAGACTCGTTGCATCAAATCCAAACTCCATAGAAATTTTATTTGTTATTGATCCTGACTAGAAGGCAGTTTTGGAGCAGTCATCAAGTTGCATCTTCCCAAACCATACATTAGTCGAAACTCATGGCAATAGGTATGTCATTTAGTGATCCTGACTCAACTATCAAAGTTTTGATTTGATGAGCTTCATTACATTGCCAGCAAACAGATACCTAGTATAAACTAAACATAAACAAAAAACATTTCACGTAAAACAGGTACAAGAGAGGTCCTTCTTGTATTGACAGAATGTTTGAAAAACACATTACTTCTAACAACACCAGAGCTATATTACAAAACATTACAAACAAAAAATGTAGATTAAGATGTATTCAAATAAAACATATACCATCCTACCCACAGCAGGTGATCCAACAAAGATGATTTTGTCAACTGAAGATACAAGAGCTTGACCAGTTTCTCCAAACCTGACATGGAAAGAAAACAACGTTGAAAGAATCGTATCATGTAATGACTGACAGCAAAGAAGAATAAAAAACCTTCAAAAATAGAAAATGAACATACCCAGTAATTACATGAACCAAATTCTCCGGAGCTCCTACAGCTACTAGAGCAACTTGAATGATCCTAAAATAAAAACATCCCGACCAGCTAGAATGCTCTGACACCTTAAACATTAGAAGAAGTTTAGTCAATTCATGGACAAAATTAGAAATCTAAACAGAGAATATTCAAGCATCATGTTTTGGGTCCTCACAGTGAACCTACGATCAGCAAAAGTTATTATTTCATGGAATAAGTAAAACAAGCATCATGTTTTGGGTCCTAACCGTGAACCTACGATCAGCAAAAGTTATTATTTCATGGAATAAGTAAAACAAGCCACTAAGCACTATCGGTTCCTTTTCAAAAAAGTCCGGAGAAATATTTGCGTACGTCTTACGTACCCAGAGCTGCGTATGTCGATAGGTTACAGGGAGGGTATTGGGGGGTTATATCTGCGTTATACCCCATGTAACCTCCCTGTAACCTACCTGTAACCTACCTGTAACCTATCTGTAACTAGTAAGTTTCGCGCTTCTGTTTTCATATATTTGTAAGTTACAGATAGGTTACATGTAGGTTACAGGGAGGTTACAGGGGGTATAACACGGATATAACCCCCCAATACCCTCCCAGTAACCTACTGATGTACGCAGCTCTGCGTACGTAAGACGTACGCAAATATTTCCCCCTCTAGTCCTTCAAAAAGCAAGGAACTTCACACTTTTCTTTAAAGAATATCGCGTAGCAGTCAAAGTCGTAAATGAACTTTATAATTTTATGCAATTAGATCATTTGTTTTCTTGCTTATCCATTCAATTCCCTGACCAGCTTAAAGTGAAGCTACTCTACCAACACCGCGTGTCCAACCACTCTGCCTCTATATTCACCATCTCTTATTGTGGCAATTCAAAGTAATTAAAATTCAAAATTGCTGCAAGTTCTAACCCAGAATAAAATAAGACCCAGCCAGATTTAAAGCTCCATTCATTAACTTGAAAAGAAAAATCAACCTTCATAATTTTATGCAATAATTTTATGCAATTAATTCGTTTGTTTTTTTTTTTCTGTACTTTCAGGTCCCTTGACCATCCTACCACCGCAAACCCAACGCCTCTGCCTCCACAGTATCTTGTATTCCTTTTTGTGGCAATACAAAATAATTGAAATTCAAATTTTCATTTATTTTTACTCAACATAAAATAAGATCATGTCAATTACCAGATTAACTCCTAAAAAGCATTTCAATTCAATTGTTAAGTTTGGCCTAGGGCTATTAATTTGAATCCGATCAAAAAATGAATTTAATTTTGGCACGGTTCTAAATCATGGGTCAACTAACCAGCATGACTAAGCTTAGTTTGAGTTAATCTATAATCAAACATGGCTTGGCTTGAGATCAACATATATATAAATTCAGGCCAATCTCCAATCAAAGTAAAATAAGTTGATATAAAATCATTAACCCTAGTTTTCCCTGTCAAGGTTGAATATGGTTAAGATGCAACTTGAAATATACAAAACATGTTTATGGTACACATAAAAATTACATTGATATATAGCTAAAAGGAATTATATTCGAGTGGCCTTGTAATGAAATTGCTTTTGAGTTGTATTAGCTTGAATACAACAACAACAAAGCCTTAATCCCACTACGTGGGGTCGGCTACATGAATCTTTTTTCTCCATTGCGTCCTATTTAGTGTCATATTTTCATTTAGTTCTAGTAAATTAAGATCATTTTTAATACAATAAGCCCAAGTCTTTCCTGGTCTACATCTGCCTTTCTTAACACAAGTCGAATCTAAACATCTACTCTCCTAATCGGATCATCGGATGGTCGACGTTTAATGTGACCAAACCATCTAAGACGACTTTCTCTAATTTTGTCGGTCACAGGAGCTACACCAACCCTATCATGGACATAATCATTTCGCATTTTGTCTCTAAGTGTAAAGCCACTCGTCCAACTAATCATTCTCATCTCGGCAACACTTAACCTATTATTACGCTTCTCTTTTAAAGGCCAACATTCAGCCACGTATAGCATTGCAGGTAGCACCACCATCTTATAAAATTTTCCTTTCAGTTTAAGTGGTACTTTTCTATCACACAAAAGGGCCGAAGCATTCCTCCACTTCAACCAACCAACTTGAATTCTACTATTAACATCCCCATCTATATCACCATCGCATTGAACAACGGACCCAAGATATCTAAATCGTTCACACCTTTTAATAATTTGATCACCCAAAGTCACACTTCTGTCACTAGAGCTATTACTACTAAAATTACATTCCATGTATTCAGTTTTAGTTCTACTTAAATGAAGGCCTTTAGACTCCAATGTAGACCTCCATAATTCAAGTTTTTCCTGGGCTTTTTCTCTCGTTTTATCCACGAGAAGAATATCATCAGCAAAAAGCATACACCAAGGTACTTCCTCCTGTAGATGTCCAGCAAAACCATCCATAAAGCAAAAAAGATATGGGTTTAAAGCCAATCCTAGATGTAATCCAACAGAAATAGGAAAATATTTTGTCAATCCTCCTTCAGTTTGAACACAAGTAACAGCTCTAGTATACATATCTTTAATGACTTGAATATAAGTCATATCAAACATTTCTTCTCGAGAACTCTCCAAA